TCCGCTGGGGTATACCCCAGTTGTTGTCTGTTTGTGGGATCATTTTGCATTCGCACATTTTGGAGTACGTGCGTTAGAGTCTTCCGTCGGAGTTGCGCTGTGCCATCTCGCTCCTCCCTCATGCTCCATCTCCATTTGTATCCTAGGCGGAGCACCTCACCCGGTGGGTCCGCTACAGACAACCGGCACCGGGAGATAACTCGGGTCTCTTGTGATCCCTGACAGTGAGTAGTGGGTTGGTAGTCAGGGCGGATTGGTCTCCTAGTTAGAAGTGTCAGGTGGTCGGTGAGTAGAGTAGGTGAAGGAACCGGTGGAGTGTACCGTAGGATAGTCTGAGATCTTCTTTGGGAGAGGAGTAGGGTTGATTGTTGAAGAAGGCTGAGGGGATGGGTTAACAAGTTAGAGCTTATAGGTGTTATGAACAGAGAGGGGAACCATGGCACTCGGTTCCCCACTTGGTACAGGTTTTTGCCGCAGGAGGCAGCAAGTGGGAGGAGGGTGGAGATGGAACTTATATAAACTAAACCGACTGAATTGTGAGGTCCCGGGGGCTAAGTCCGACATACACCGTTGAGCCAGTTCAACGTTGAACTAACTCAGCATGTGTGACCCCACGCGACGTCTTAGATGCATCCGGAGCTGCACATCCAGCGGTTGTTCCTAGGTGTATAAAATACAAAGACTTTTGTTTTTGTTTTTTGGTTGAAGAAAGTTGTTGAAAAATCCTTCCACCCGAATACAAATCCCCTTACCCTGCCCATCTTTCGTTGAACTACATACCCCACTTGGGGTATGGGTTCAACGGGGCTTGTGCCATCATGACCTTCTGTGGGAGGACACTCTGACAATCGTGGGAGGACACTCTGGCATTCTGTGGGAGGACCCTCTGACAGAGTGTTCATGCAGTGTTTGGCTGTGCAGCCCCAGACTCGTTTCTGCGAAGGCACCAAGCCAGGAGTACCGTCTACATTCATTTCATGTTGTAGTGAGTCTTTATCTCTCTAACGTTGCGTATTATGGGGAACCTTTCACTGAGGATTGTTGTATTTTCCATTTTAATTTTGAGAAAATACAGACAAAGACTTTTTTTTTTTTTTTTCCAGCTCATTTGATTACGCACTCAAAAGGAGAGGCCGGGAGTCCTCAACAACCAACCCGGAAAGTAGCTGAAGGTGTAACTGTAGGTGTTGGGGTGAGATCTAGCGACAGAAATGGCCAACACCAGACCGCTGTCCTGATACCCGTCGACCATGGGAACAAAAGGTACGCCTCAGGCTTGAGAAATCTCACAACCCAAAAACTAAGAAAAACCTTTCAGTAACATTTGGTTATTCATTGTTCTTTTAGAAATAGGGGAAAAAAAAACTTTCAGCAACCTTTTTTTTTTTTTTTTCCCTTTGTTTTGAGTTTTTAAGTCGTAAAAACCATGTCACACCGTTGCGTTGAGCTAGTTCAACGGCGCATGTGGGACTTGGCCCTAGGCCTCGGTTCTGGCGATTGAATTGGTAATAAAGCAAAACTGAATTTTGCGGGGAAAAAAAGGGCCATCGCAGCCGGACGTTCGCAGTTGGTTCGATAGGGCTATCGAATTCCAATTTTTGACACCTATTGAAGAATTTCGAAGTCTCATTTTCCGATAGGATGTGTAGCGACGCAAAACTATCGAAAAAACGTAATTCGTTAGTGGTGTGGCGAATAGCAATAGTAAAGATAACAACAACATGCGAGTGCAAGCACTACACGTGGCCGAACAGACCGACAAAGACGAAGCAAAAAAGGCAAGTATAAACAAGGAAAAAAGAGAGACGGAGAAGTAAGAAAACCCCCGAGCGCATCAATTCGAAAGATAAACAACAAAGCACATGAGAAATGTCGACGTAGAGCACCAGAAAAACTTGAAGCGCGACTTACGGTTAGCCCTACACGTGTTTCGGTCAGACCGCCAGAACATCGACCATCATCAAGGGTTGCGCAAGAGATGGGGGGAGGAATAGACTGGTCGACTACTTATACCGAAGAAACCGAGACGTCACCAAGGGACCGAAGAAACCGGGGCGTAAAAAAAACATGGCCAACGGAACCGGTTCCGGTACCTGGACCGGGCCGAAAAAATGACAATTTCATATGAATAATGCTAAATTACATAGTCCAATTCGTAAAACAGGAGACCCATCTGGCCCATACACCCTTAATTCGTATATTAAAGTTACGAAAGACCTTATCGAAATACTTGTCGAGGAACCCACGTCTTCGGAGCTCCATCTTCAAGGTAAATAGGAAGCTCGCCACTGTTGCTGGTAAAGTTCCCATGGCATAAGCGTGATGGAAGAAAAAATAGATGACTGCAAGTTTCTGTTTCTTGGAGCAATAAGATCTGAAATCCTAGAGATTTTGAAAAATTAAACCACTTCCTTCGAACAGATTGTCCTGATTCTTGTGAAGGGTCTGACAGAAAACTCGAACAGGCTCTCTACCCACTAAGATCCGGCAACCTAGGTAAGGCCACTGTCCCCCAGAACTAGTACGTTCAAGTGTAAGATGCTTGTCATACCAGTTAGTGATAAAGTTGTGCATGGTACCCTCTGCCTTCCTCAATTAACTAGATTGTTGTTTCTTGTATTTGATGAAAATCGAGACATCATTAAGAAGCCTACATCCAAAAACTAAACGCGAGTTGTTACTAAAATTCCTCAGAAAAGTGTACTCATTGTTGACACACAGTAAACATGCTAAAGTTGGGCTTGAAGAATTGTCCATTGGTATACCTAGATTCTGTTTAACAACCTTACCCATTGCCATAGTATATGTTCTTCCCAAATCATAGACAATAAATCTCAGTAATAATGAGAACTTCACTGACTTAAATCCTGATTGTGAGTTGGAGACCCTACTTAGAATGACACTCTTACTTTTACAATTAATGAGACATTTGTAGAATCTTTTCTCTTCAAAAAAACATATCGCCCATTCAACGGCCGTAATGATCGAGGAATGAGGCAACTGACATAACATTTCCTTTACGTCAAAGCTACTAGCGAGAAGATCATTATCGGGAGTGATACTATTGTTGATCTTGGATAGAAAAGTGGAAAGCAAATGAGTGCAGCGTAGGTTGAAATGAGAGTTACAGGGGGGACGTTTGAGAAACTCATTAACACAGAGTGAGATTGTTCTAGCAGCTCTGCGAGAAGGTTCATTCCGGGATGGACAGATCGGGCGTCACTTGTTGATGTCCTTGTGCTTGGGGATTACATATGATCTTTCCAGTTTGCCCGATGATATCCATGGAGTCAATGCTTGTAGCTTCTGTGAAGTGTAGTCAGTCTTGCACAGTTTCAGTATGTCATTCTCAGTTTCCGTGATGATTTGCAGTTAAGGGTTCTTAGTAAACAGTTTACGTAGACCCCCAACGTATATGGTAGGGCAACACACATATGTGTCACCTGCATTATGATCCAGCGCATATAAAACCAAACCTTCAAGCCTTGATTTCCACAGTTGAATGTCGTGACATGAAATGTACCCGCCAGGTAAATCACGTCGGTAGTTCGTCGTAAAAAAATTGTCCAATCCAACGAGCGAGATGTCAAATCATGCACCAAAAAATTGTTTGAATGATACAGCTATCTGCTTCCTCAGTGATACTGGATAAGTGGCATAACTGGGACAAACGTGATGTTTAAAATTGCGAAGATAGTCAGGAAAAAGTTCAGACTCGCTGATTCTAAAGGAAATATGACCTTCAGTCTTTGGAAACACAGAAGAAATAGAATCACACGTACAAAGGGGTCTAGAGATGACAGAGTAGTTCCTAAAATTGTGTACATTATCGGAAACGGTCTAGTATTTAGTCCATACTACACGAAGTTTCCTACATACCAATTGTAGGTACGATTGGGGATAGTTAAGTTCCAATACACTACGTTGGCAAACTCGCCTAACTGCAGATTTCACAACATTTTTGTCGTACCTAATGCGGACAACTAGACGAGCGGAGAGGCTGAGGCAGAAACGTCTACGACAGACCTTGAAGAGGATAATGCACAAGGTAGTACGGGACTTCTTAGCTGAGATAGTATGAACAGTATTGCAGGCATCAATAAGGGAATTAAGACTCCAAAACGAGAGGTCACGACGAGATTGAGGATATTTTATATGAGAGTGATTTGAAACAGAAAAGTTTGATGGAGTGGAAGGAGATAATATTTCCAGGTTCAAACCAAACACGATTATGCTTGAGCAAGGAGACAGGGAGATTAGGGGTGGAAATGGTGGAGTAGCCGAATAAACGACGAATACATTTCCATTTATCAGAGAAGCAATTGCCTGACAAGATGTGGATACGAAGTGGGAAGGAGAGTTGAGATTGAGAGAGTTGTCGAAGAATGGAAATAAGACTGGAGGAAGTGAGGCCAAGAGGTGAAGAAAATTTGAAGGGAAAGGGGAGAGGTATAGGAGAACGGGAGACAAAGGATAAATTTTTTCTCTTCTGCTTAATCCTTTCTTTGCGTCCAGGGCGGCGGAGGCAGTCACGAGAGGTGCGTGGCCGAATGGAGTTGAGAGAGGGGGAAAAAGAGCGGATGAAAAATTGTTCAGCAGACAAAAGTTCGTTAGTACCTGGGAGAAAGATAGGAATAGAGATATACCCTTCAGTACCTACTCTACGCATTCATCTATACAGTTTACGATTCCTACTTAGCGGTTTAACAGAATGAGTAGATAACAAATGTTCCTTCTAACAGATATTAACAGATCGAGAAGTGCATCTTATATAACAGTGCTTATACGAGGGTGAGATGAGAGCGTACACGACAGGGCGATGACAAGACTTAAAGTCATAGCCGATCTTGAGCAAATACAATAAAAAATCACAGAATTTATTACACCAACATACCTGGTTCTCAATAATTAATAATATAAGGATTTATCGAAACAAATACGAAATATTGTCCGAGGTTGAGGACTTACGAAAATCGCGACAGAGCAAAACCCACTTCCATAATGTGGATGCGCTTAGGGCGCGACCTCACTCATCGTTCACTTCTTCAGTGAAAGTGACATAAGCTTGGTCTTGCTCATCGTCGTCATCGTCCTAAAGACCTTGGTCTTTCAACCAATCAGCGAATCTTCTCCTCGCACGAATCTCGTCCTCGTCAGCTTTCGATTGGTCGAACTTGATGTATGTGATCCCCTCAGCATCACACAATATATGCATATCGGCTTTCTTCGCCTGGCGAACTGCACGTCGTAGTTGAGCGTTCTCTGCCTTTTCTGCCTCGTCATGTGACTTATGAGCAGCCATGGCATCTCCTTCCTTGCCCGAATCATCATCCTCTACTTGTATCGCATTCAAGGTAGTCCTTAAGTTCCGCGGTGTGGTTCTTCTTACGGTCGATCGCCTACCAGTGACTCTTTGCTTCGTTAACAGTTGAGCGCCCATTCTTGCTACTCGTTCCTTGAGAGCCTGAACCTCTTTATTCGCCATATCTTCGTTTTCCTGCGCCTTCTTGTAAGCCTTCTGGAGAGCCTTCAGATCTTTCAGAGTGTACACAGCATCGCCGATAAGAACCATCCGCTGCTTCCCATTGTCAGGTTCGACAGGTGGACTCTTCTCGATGATAGCATCAGAGGCTCTCTTGTTGTTACAAGCGTTCCTCAAATGCGCTATTTCCCCTCTAAGATCTTGAAAATCCTTCTTGAGATAAGAGTTCTCTGCTCTGAGGGCACCCAATTCAATGCTTCGATCCTGCAGGGCAGTGCGAACGCCTTCGAGCTCTTGGATCTGCAGGCGTAGAGCAACAATCTCGTCGTTGCGCGAGTTCTCAGATGAAGCCGTTGTTGACTTGTTAATCTCGTTTCGTGCCTTTAGCATCTCAATATCCTTTCTGAGTACTTGTTCTTCGTTGTTCATAACTTGCGCCTTCTGAAGTGCTGCTTTATCTCGTCGTAGCGCTGCCAGACTTAACTCGGCTTCTCACCTACACATCTAGACTTCAACTCCTTCAATTCTCTTCTAGACTTGCTCACATCAGTCTTGTCTTCGTCCGGGAGGTCGACTTTCTTACCCATGACCAATTCACAGACACTTTTCATGATATTCCTAACTATTTTTCCTAGCCTCGCTTCCTATAACTCCTTCTCCTTCTTTGCCTGAGTGTTTTTCTCCTCTTCTATCTGCAACTTTTTTTTCTCTGCTTCCCGCAACTGCAGTTTCGTTGCTTCTTGCTTTCTCTGCTGTCGTTCTTCAACTTGCTCCGAAAGCAGTCCGTAGATCTTCTCGAACCGATCGTCCCGATCTTGATACCGGGAATTCCCTGACCACGGTTTCGAGTAACGTTGTCCGCCTGAATTGCCTCTAAAATTATTATATCCTCCTGAGCTTGTACCGACGTTATAAGTGCCCTCGTTCTGCGCTTCATAAGGTACAAGTGCATTGGACATGTTGGCTGCTCCCGATCTTTGCGAAGAAGTCGAAGAGTAAGAGGAGTTAGGAGCAGGCAACAGGCCGCCATCACCCTGACCCGAACCATTACTCATAGCCCCTTGAATATTGGCCACCATCTCCGCTCTATTCGGGAAGCTCCAGAATGGACACTCACGTACGAAGTGACTGGGCAACCGACAAAATTGGCAAAGCCCCGGCCTATACATCTAGTAATAGGAGAACTACAAACGTCCTCTACAATCTCCTCGCACCAGAAGTAGAGAGGGCGAAAACGTGAAAGATTGGGTCGAAGAGAAGATAAAGTAAACGAATTAAAGATCGTCGTCACACAACCGGGGTGAAATCTCCTCGTTGGTTCTCTGCGTGTATGTCGTAGTAAAGACAATAACGACATGCGAGTGCAAGCACTATACGTGGTCGAACAGACCGACAGAGATGAAGCAAAGAAGGCAAGTACAGACAAGGAAAGAAGCGAGACGAAAAAGTAAGAAAACCCCCGAGCGCATCAATTCGAAAGATAAACAACAAAGCACATGGAAAATGTCGACGTAGAGCACCGTAAAAACTTGAAGCGCGACTGACGGTTAACCCTACATGTGTTTCAGTCGGGCCGTCAAAACACCGACCATCATCAGAGGCTGCGCTAGAGATGGGGGGAGGAATAGACTGATTGACTACTCATACCGAAGAAACCGAGACGTCACCAAGGGACCGAAGAAACCGAGACGTCAAAAAGACAGGGCCAACAGAACCAGTTCCGATACCGGGATCGGGCCGAAAAAATGGGAAACTCATATGAATACTGCTAAACTCCAAGGTCCAATTCGTAAAACAGGAGACCCATCTGGCCCACACACCCTTAATAGTATATTAAAGTTACGAAGGGCCTTATCGAAATACTTGTCGCGGAACCCACGTCTTCGGACCTCCATCTTCAAGGTAAATAGGAAGCTCGCCCCTGCTGCTGGTAAAGTGTCCATGGCATGCCCCAAAGTTTTCGTGAACTATCCAGCGGCCTAACTCAGTTGGTAAGGCTCACAAGTGGCATTCAGGAGGTCGTGGGTTCAATCCCCATTGGCCTCATGTACCTTCCTGGGCATGCTTGGCGCCCGCCATCTGGAGATAGACCTCTGTATCCCCCGATTGGCACCTGAGGGGAGGCACAGGGATTGGTCTTGTTGGCATGGTCCCTGATGCTACCGGATGCCCTCTAGCCGGTATCGCCCACCTGCAGGTCGGGATCAGCCCCTGCATGTTCTCTCGTGAAAACGGTTCTGGCTGCTACGGTGTTCCCCGTATGCCTACAATGGGCCTCGCCACACCACTCTTGAATCTTGAAAATTCGTGAGTCGGGCACTGCCACACAACATCGCTCAAAAAAAAAAGTCGAAACTGTTCGAGAGCTGCCAGAAAGGCGTTTTCGAGTGCCTTCTCGAAACTATGGGCCTCGCCACACCACTCTCGAATCTCGAAAATCTTCGAGGGCTGTCAAGATTTTTCGAGAGGCCGGTTTTCGAGAGAAAATGGCCCTTCGCCACATAGCACACTAGACCGGCCTCTCGAAAATTCCTCTCGAGCGTGGATGCTATCCGCGGCCCGAGAAAACGGCCTGGCAACTCTCGAAATGGACGTCGAACTCGAGCGCAGACGGGCGGTATCACAAAAACTCCAACGCTGCAGGCTGGGCGAAAACATATTTTCGAGAAGGCACTCGAAAACGCCTTTCTGACAGCTCTCGAAAAGTTCCGAGGTTTTTTTTTCAAGCGATGCTGTGTGGCGGTGTTCGACTCACGAATTTTCAAGATTCGAGCGTGGTGTGGCGAGGCCCTATGTTTTCACCCAGCCTGCAGCGTTGGAGTTTTCGTGATACCGCCCGTCCGCGCTGGAGTTCTACGTCCATTTCGAGAGTTGTCAGGCCGTTTTCTCAGGCCGCGGATAGCATCCAGGTTTGAGAGGAATTTTCGAGAGGCGGGTCTAGTGAGCTATGTGGCGAAGGGCCATTTTTTCTCGAAAACCGGCCTCTCGAAAAATCCTGACAGCCCTGGAATATTTTCGAGATTCGAGAGTGGTGTGGCGAGGCCCAATTAGGGGTGGTGGTAGGTAGGTATTGTGAGGTGAAATTGAGAGAAGAATATAGCTTCAGTAAAAAAAATAGAGAAGTATATAGCTTCAGTATAAAAAAAAAAAAACAAAAAAAAAACTTTTCGTGAATCGAAATCTGGTTCCGCAATCCGTTACGCAAAAGGAGGGAGGGGAGCCGCGGGCACGAGGGCGCTTACCCGGGAGGAGTGAATGAGCGGGAAGAAGGTGGCCTTCAGGAGGAGGAAGGTATGGCGGACGAGGCGGGGTAAGCTGGGTAAGATTACATCAGTGCAGCGGGTGGACTGCGGATACACTTGGATTGGGTCCAGGTACACGGTATCGGTGCGCATACGCGGACAGGAAGAGGAACCCTCGGTCGTGTTTGTGTGTGTGTGTGTGTGTGAGAGAGAGAGAGAGAGAGAGAGAGAGAGAGAGAGAGAGAGATGCGTAGAGGAAAGGGTTCCTGTGATGGCTTAAGGGAGAGATAGGCGGCTGTGATGACCAGTGGTGCTGTTAGATTGGGTGTGTCTCCTCTGGCCCCTCTCCTCCTTGACAGTTTGAGGGGGGGAGGGGGAAGCGTGGGGGATGCTGAGGCTCGCAACCCTTACGTCGGGCGCAGCAGGCGCTCACCCCTAAGTACGCTTAATCAATGAATTCATAAGAGGAGTCGCCTGGAAAGGCAAGGGTAGAAAGGGAAGGAGAGAGGGCCATTCAGTGCTACGAGGCGAAGGAGTCAGTGACCGGTCCTCATTCTGAGAATTTGAAAATCATCTGGAATAAAGCCGCAGATAATTTGTGCGTTTCCCCCCTCTTTTCTCCTCCCTCCCCTTGCCTAATTGTTTGTTTGTTTGTCTGGGTGTGTGTCTGTGGGTTTGCGCGGG